CACGGACAAACAAGAAGAACTGACACATTTAATTGAGTGTGCACACTTATGTATGTGTGCTTGTTTCCATGCATGTGCATGCCCCCATTTGTGTGCATGCACGTTTGTCTACAGCCATCCAGCACAAAGATGAACACCTGAAATATATAAGAATATGTGTTTTTGAAGTGTGAGTAGAGTCAAAATCTCACTTTCCAGTCAGGTAGTTTTATTCCTGTTTTACCAGCAGACTGCAGGAAGTCAGCCCAGTAGGTGGTGAGGCACATATGTCCACCCCAATCAAACCTTGCTGAGGCTTTCATTGGACTGTAAGTGTCATAGCTGAGTGCTCCTTTATGACGGCTTCTCACAATGGATATGAAGATAAGCTCAATACAAAGACAGCCATAGTTGTGGATGGTGTGGAGAGAGTCTGGTGAGCAGACAAATGAAGACGTGCGGAAAAATAACTGGTTTGTAACAACTTAGAAATGACTTGTTACAGATGATCGAATATTTAATCAGTCTAAAAACTTTTTCCATTCCATAAGAAAACTGAATATTTCCACCTATCTTGGTATGCCCCCCCCTCCTCCATCCCCTCTTTCTTCCCTCCTCCAATTATTTTCTAATTTATAATGTCTTAATACTGTCATTCATTTTCAAAACACAAGTTATATAGCCAACTTCTCATTATGTGACACATCATTTGAAACTGAAATAAATTAATATTTTTAAATCTTATCAATATCATATTTATCTGTACCTTTCCATTTGTATTATGCATAATTACTCCCCTAAATTTTAACAAAACTGATCGCCAATATTGTGCAAATTTTTGTTTGATATCAATACCCGGAGACAAGTTGAGTTCAGGTCAAATCATATTTTGGGGATTATATCAATCTAGTGTGTGTGTGTTTGAGTGCATGCATGCCCTCGCATGTGCACGTGAGTGCACATGTTAAAGTGTACAAGTGCCGTGCTTGAAATTTGTGGATAATCACCATAGCTTTCATGAGGTTTCTTTTTACACTTAAATGTCAATACCTTTTAGTCTTTTATATCCATTTCCCACTGAAATAACAATGTAAAGGATAAATGCAAACATGTAGAGGCAATTATTTCATTTTTTCATCACACAAATATCAAATGGTAAGGCAGCCACCCTCTTGGTAGTTTCTGCCCCCCCCCCCCCCCCTCCATTGCAGGTGTGTTGTGGTCATCAAAATATTCCAATTCTGATGATAACAAGAAAAACATTCAATGCTAAAAATTTTGGTTATCAAATAATACTCAACCTTACTGATGAAGCCCATTTGCTTACTAGTTACTGCTCTTTCACATTAATCCTTAAAATAATAATCAAGAAATAATCTGAGGCCTAGATGTATATTTTAACCTCTCCATCCCCCTTCCCAATCACTTGTATGAGCATACACAAATCCAGAAATATTTATATTAATGACAGCTAATGCCCAGATCTTCTAGCTCATCAGCCAGACACATTATAACAGACCATCAGCATGCTTTATTAGAGACCATTTTTCCTACTTAATCAAGATTAACTGGAGAGACTACAGTGATGGGTCTCTACTGCAGGGCAAAAACCAATGGGAGTTAAAGAATATGACATTTTCTAATCAGTCAATAGTTTGGGACAGCAGTCTCACAAAAATACAAAAAGATCACCTGGTTCTCTTCTTCAATTAGCCATGTACTTTCACCTACCCAGTCAACAAGGCTCATACCATCTCCCAGTCCCCATCTTTCAATCTCCTTCATCCCTAATCTCTCATCTCCCTTATCCCATAGTCTCCCATCTCCCTCATCCCCAGTCTCCCATCTCCCTCATCCCTAGTCTCCCATCTCCCTCATCCCTAGACTTCCATCTCCCTCATCCCTAGACTTCTATCTTCCTCATCCCTAGTCTCCCATCTTCCTCATCCCCAGTCTCCCATCTTCCTCATCCCTAGTCTCCCATCTCCCTCATCCATAGTATTCCATCTCCATCTCCTATCTTCTTAATCCCCAGTCTTCCATCTCCCTTATCCATAGTCTCCCCTTTCCCTCATCCCATAGTCTTCCACTATCTTCATCCCTAGTCTCCCTTATCCCTCATCCCCAGTCTCCCATCTCCCTCATCCCACCAACTTTACTGCTCTCTAAACTGAACACAGTTTTCATCTGAAACCCAATCAAGTGACTAATGACTCCATATTGACAGGGAGCTCCATTATCCCACTAATGAGTCTACTTCATGGCTGCATAGACAGATGCTCAGGTGATGGAACTATGTGGAATATTATTCAATTTCTGTCCAACCAGCAAGCTGTTCTGCCCTCTTTATCTTAACTGATCAATTGCTATGTCCACAAAACTGTTCTACAGCATAGTGGCCTTGGGATTACAATGGATTACATCCAAGATAGTCTAAAACCAGGGAGGAAACCAGTCCTCCATGAAAAAGTAGGAAAATTGGCCAGGGGTCCAGGGTACATGATTCACAAGAATGACCCAAATGACCCTGAAAAAGTTGGAAAAGTCTCATCAGTGAAAACGAGGCTTGACATCAAAACGAAGCTCGACGTCAAACGAGGCTAGAATCCATGTGAGATGGGGTTAACTTCGAAAGCAACGCACCAAATTTAATGAATTTTGGACTATTTTGCAACAGACTGATCTTCAACAAAACTTCAGAGAAATTATCAGCGTTATATAAATTGTCAGCTCTTATCCATTGCTACATTGCACTATTTAGTCTTCTACCACTCTCCTCACAAATCCTGCAAAATCTCATTTAATTTTGCTCTGAGTTGGGCTATTTTGGATGTTTCTTACACCAGTCATATTCCACTGAAAAGTGACCATCTGGATCAGGTCAGTGACACTCACATGTGTAATATTTGCATAGTTCTGAGTTGCTCCATTATTTCCACTTCATTATACTCTACTACTCTCCAATGTGGATAAAAATCAGAAGTAATAAATAAAAAGTGATATAAAACAGTTATGAAAATATTACACAAAAAGTGCACACTAATGACTTCACTCTGAGAGTCACTTTTTTTGTAAACGACCCATAATGTTTTATGTGATGAATATATAAGTAACTAGAGAATCTAATCCTAAATATCAGAACCACAGAAACAAATATCTGAATACCTAAATGCATTATCTTTTGAGACAAAGCAATAGGACAGATGCTAACGATAGGGCAATGCTTTGTCTTTGGGTAAGGTATTAAAACTCTACTAGACACTTGGTTTCCCTTCAATACTTGTGGTAAAATCTGGGCATTTCCCTCCCAATTATCATTATGGGGGACACTATTACTATAAAGAGGATTGCTACAATTAACAAACTGAATGCCGCAGAGAAAGAGCGACGTGAAACGAGCATCTCAATATCAACGTATATTCCTACATAACAAATGCAACCAGCTGTTACTTATCACTGTAAATATGTATGATGTTAGAAATGCAAGCCATAAAACTGTTCAGCCGATTGCTATTTCGTGCCCAGCTGATACCAATGTAATCAAACTTTTTGTAAATTACGATAATGCATGCACAACAGCAACATCTATTTTCTCTCTTACAATCTGCTTTGCTATTGCAGCCAGGTGATACATTTACACATGAAAATAAAAAAAACAACAACAATAAAACATATTACCAGAGCTCCTACCGACTGAAATCAACCAGTTGATATCAGACCCAGCATCAAATCTGCTTAATTTATTATTGATTGCTACTTACTGCATTATACAATAACACTCATAAACCATATGGAAACATAGATTTAAAAAATCATACATAAAACATCTCACCTTATTTATTATCATTAAGAAAAACTGTTCTTGCTCAAGCTATGCTACAGAGGGTACCTTATTGTTATAAACTGTCTGCAGATCACCGAGTCAAACGTTAATTCAAGCATGGTGTCACGCTGTGGGGTGCCCACTTGATTATAATAGTGACTTATGATATATTTTATCATATATAGTTTCTGAGAAAAGGTCACGGATTCCAGTATACATTAAAAGCGTTTTTCCCACGTGTTATTTCATACTAGTGTTATATCTTTAAGGAAAAAAAAAATTAAAAATGTGCTTCAATGGACCAAAAAAAAGTTTGTTTGTTTTTTTTTTTTTTTTGTAACAGGCCATCCAAATAAATTTATTAGCTGGTATGTAGCTGATATAAGCATACATATACATTCAAAGAAGCATACGGATAATAAACTATTCTTTTCTCTCTTTCTCTCTCTCACTTATTCAACCTGCTACATTTACAACAAAATAAACACAGGAGATAAGTAGATAAGTAAAGCAATCAAAGCCATGCCATCCACACCAGCAGTGATCATTATAACAGTTTATCACCTGTAATCTTCAGCTACAGCCAAACAAGATAATCACACACAATGAAATGCAGCCACTTACCTCAACAATCTAATCTACCAGCTACATAAAGTCGATTCTTCTCAATGTCTTTGTCTTCACCCCAAATTGAAGTCGCCCGGCACCATCAAGTGTAGCAGTGGTGGTGGTGGTGGTGGTCCGGTTAACTTCAAGGGTGGCTGGTTTGGTTGGGTTGGAGTTACCCCGTTTAACTGTCGCTGTTAACCTGCAATATATGCATACAAATGATAACCATATCACTGATGGCAATGCAGGTGGTGCTCCTTTCACTCACTTAAAGCCTAGTGCTCTTGTCACTAAGAACACCGGTCACATGACTGACTGGCTCAGGCGTTGTTGTTCATATCACGGCAGCAGCAGCGTACAATACACTGTGGTTAGGGTGACTTAGGAGACAGGGTCAACTAATACGTAGGGAAGATTTCAGTGGACAATGAGAGCCTTACTCTCCATGTCACAGAGAGGAACAACTGCGGAGGCTCAATCAGGCTAAAGTCACAGTGTGACCAGGCACCCCTGACCTTTTTCAGGATTCACTTAATACACATCTCGGGGGCTAACCTGTGCTTATTAAATGTGAGGTTTAAAAGGAGATGAAGGTGTGATAGTAATGACTAGGCTATTAGTAGCTGACTACAGCACACAGGGTGACAACCCAAGTATGAAATTTTACCACCCAAGATTAATGAAATGACACGAAGCAACACTTAATCAAAGTTTATTATACTGTGGTGCATTCCTTGCACCTACCCTGTCCAGTGCTACTTAATTAAGCCCTCAGGATCTGATTTAATTAACTGATATGACACTAGAGGTGTACTTCCAGTGATTAATTTTAATGGTTTCCAAAAGTGAGCTTTGTATGATAATGAGTTTTCATATATAAAATACTGGCTGACCAGTTAATGCAACTGTTTATGTTGCAATAAAGAGAAAAAGAACAAGAAGAAGAAGCAGAATAAGAAGAAATGGAGAAGGCAGAGCATAGCAAAATGACTATTCAATGACTAGTTCATAACAAACATTGTTCAAGGTGCTGGTCTGTAAAACCAGTATAATATATACATAATTCTTATCACCATATTGGTTAATTAAAGAACCCATGTCTACCAAGAAATTACACNAAAAAAAAAAAAAAAAAAAAAAAAAAAAAAAACCAGAGACAGGTTTCTACAACATCCATAAAAAGCATTAATTAAAAAAAAATTCCTGATCTTCAGTTATAAGAAAATGCAACAACAAATCCAGAGAATAACGTCACTTCATTGTCTTATGGTCCTAACCAGCTTGCACTAAAATAAGCCCCAGCACTATTGGGCGCATGGTCCATGAAAGATGGCTTTTCATTCTAAGTTTTCCTTTTTTTACGCAACCAGGCTGTGCAAGGAACAAAAGCAACTAATAAATGTAACCTGATATTTGAATGCAGAAGAAATTACCAGTCTATTCTGTGTATTGAAGGCTGCATAATTTTAAACACCTGGATAGTTCATTATACTGAAGGATACCAGACATGCGGTTTCTTTTTTTTTTTTTTTTGAAATAAGCTTTCTTTTTTTTCATTTAATTCTGCTCCCCTCCCTCATTTGCTCTATAAAGCTGAAGTAAATCCAAACTCTATCTACCTTTTTCTATTTCTAAAGCATCAGTGTTACAGGAAAGACTCAATTTTTCTGTCAGTTTCTTCTCCTCAATTTGTCAGCATCACAAATTATACAAAGCAGTTCTAACATTATCACTTCTGCAGGCTATATACCCATATCATCATAGGATGCATGCAATTCTTTTGTTGAATCACTCACTAAAAAGTAATGAGACCAGTCTAATCGTCCTGTCATACATCATAATAACTTACTAAGATGTAAAATAATCTACAAGCATCAAATTCTATACTGTTTATCTTTCAATTAATTAAGACCGTCCTTGCCTGTAGCCCGTTATTGCGGGCAGCCTATCTTTGAAATCTTCCCCACCAGACAGCATCATTATTTTATTGGAATTACATTAACAAATCAATAGTGTGTATGGCTTGTATCAACCCATAGACAATATCACAGCAGACCTTTACCATTCTCCAGTTACGTCAAACACTTTTCACTTACTTAATGAGGTGCCTTAAGGGGGGTCTATATCGTGACAAGTAAACAAAGAACTGTTAATGAGTACAAATGATAAATAAGATATGATGACCTCTTCTTAAAAGATTTCATTTTACTAAAACTACTGTTCCATGATCTAGAGGATGGTGTAACTGGGAACTGCTAGAGATGCTAAGACTTAAATCCCATGGGCACTCACAAATTTCAGTGTAAAAATTAATTTGCCTTGAACTATTTAAATGTGTTGAAAGATTATAAGGATTTTGTGATGAACTTTTTGTTTCANACAGACAGGTTTCTACAACATCCACAAAAAGCATTAATTAAAAAAAAAATTCCTGATCTTCAGTTATAAGAAAATGCAACAACAAATCCAGAGAATAATGTCACTTCATTGTCTTACGGTCCTAACCAGCTTGCACTTAAATAAGCCCCAGCACTATTGGGCGCATGGTCCATGAAAGATGGCTTTTCATTCTAAGTTTTCCTTTTTTTACGCAACCAGGCTGTGCAAGGAACAAAAGCAACTAATAAATGTAACCTGATATTTGAATGCAGAAGAAATTACCAGTCTATTCTGTGTATTGAAGGCTGCATAATTTTAAACACCTGGATAGTTCATTATACTGAAGGATACCAGACATGTGGTTTCTTTTTTTTGGAAATAAGCTTTCTTTTTTTCATTTAATTCTGCTCCCCTCCCTCATTTGCTCCTTAAAGCTGAAGTAAACCCAAACTCTATCTACCTTTTTCTATTTCTAAAGCATCAGTGTTACAGGAAAGACTCAATTTTTCTGTCAGTTTCTTCTCCTCAATTTGTCAGCATCACAAATAATACAAAGCAGTTCTAACATTATCACTTCTGCAGGCTATGTACCCATATCATCATAGGATGCATGCAATTCTTTTGTTGAATCACTCGCTAAAAAGTAATGAGACCAGTCTAATCGTCCTGTCATACATCATAATAACTTACTAAGATGTAAAATAATCTACAAGAATCAAATTCTATACTGTTTATCTTTCAATTAATTAAGACCGTCCTTGCCTGTAGCCCGTTATTGCGGGCAGCCTATCTTTGAAATCTCCCCCACCAGACAGCATCATTATTTTATTGGAATTACATTAACAAATCAATAGTGTGTATGGCTTGTATCAACCCATAGACAATATCACAGCAGACCTTTACCATTCTCCAGTTACGTCAAACACTTTTCACTTACTTAATGAGGTGCCTTAAGGGGGGTCTATAACGTGACAAGTAAACAAAGAACTGTTAATGAGTACAAATGATAAATAAGATATGATGACCTCTTCTTAAAAGATTTCATTTTACTAAAACTACTGTTCCATGATCTATAGGATGGTGTAACTGGGAACTGCTAGAGATGCTAAGACTTAAATCCCATGGGCACTCACAAATTTCGGTGTAAAAATTAATTTGCCTTGAACTATTTAAATGTGTTGAAAGATTATAAGGATTTTGTGATGAACTTTTTGTTTCAAAAATTTATATTATTAAATGTAATGACCCAGATTGGGGGGGGGGGAGGGGTAAAATGTCTTTTTTTTTGTTTGGTCCAAGATTTTCTCTGGACAAAAGAGATGTGTGTTAGCAATTAGTGAAAAATTTTTATCTCAAATGCTAATGTCATGTTTGTAACCAATTTTGATCCCTTCACAAAAAAAAAAAAAAAAAAAAGGGGTTAAAGCCAATTAATGGCCAGGTGAATCCAGGTAAGCCTTGTTTCCAGCCTATCTGCATCTTAATTAAGGTCATCTAGTGATGATCTGCTAGGTATACTAAATAAGTTTTTCTTTGCCATTCACAAGTGATGATCCTTAAGGGCAACCATGAAAGAATCTTTGCCAATGAGATTCAGGCAGTGTTTTTTCAGTTAATTTTCACTCCTATGCAGTTGGGTGGGNAATAACAACTGCAACTGTGTGTTTACTAGTTTGCGGACAGGCAGCAATTGTATATATAGTATGTCTGACGTCATTATAGTAACGTCCAATCGCGTTTCTTTCCCATTATGACGTGCCCATTCATTCATTACGCCTCCTAGCTGATGCAACCCGCATTGAGAGACCTGCAGGGTCCAGTTCGAAGGGTCAACTACTTTGTTATGTGTTTGTATGTATCCTGTTTACAATCAGAATCCGGTTTGATCTGGTTCCGATTAAGTGTGGTACACACTGTCTGCGAATTTTGTGAAATGTAGTAGACCCCTGTAGGTGTGTGTGTGTGTGTGTGTGGGTGGGCGGGTGTGGGTAGGTCTGGGCTGAGAGGGTGTGGTGTGGGTAGGTCTGGGCTGAGTGGGTATGGTGTGGGTGGGCAGGTGTGGGTAGGTCTGGGCTGAGTGGGTGTGGTGGGTGGGGGATCGGGTCAGGCTTGTTCAAGTTTATGAAGTTCCCCATATCATTTTAGACCCGTCTTAAATTATTATATCACCTCATACTTATCTTACATGACCCAAAATTTCCTGTAATTCTCTAAAACAATTCTATGGTTGGGAATGATTTTTGGTAAAAGTCAGTTACCCCCCTCTCCTTAATCTACTATGGAATACCGTATCATTCAAATTATCCCAATCTGTCCCCGTCTGCCATCCTCTCCTAGATACTTAAATGCGGGGAGAAATTTGTTGTCTACTTATTAAGAACAAAGCTGGCTAAGTAAGTAATCAATACTCGGTTCTATGCCTCCCTGCCACTAAGCCATCCAGTTCATAGACTTGCAAGTAGTCCACTTCTATATCTATGCATAAACAAAAACTGTGTTCAAACAAACACTCACTGGGCAGAACGCAATGAAACATACATGCATGGGGACCGTTTTACATACACGGATATGCACATGAAATTCTGGGTATGGTTTTAATATAGTGCATTTAAAATATTGGCAGCTGTAAACTGTCCTATAGAAGTGTTCGGTTGTGTTCAGACTAGACTTATATAGACTGAATGATTTTGGTCCAAACTGCATCATGTCCACGGCGTAACAACATGAGAGAGAGAGAGAGAGAGAGAGCACAATACAATAGCTCTCTGGTAGCACAAGTTTGATTCTTCTCTAGTAAAAAAATAGCCCTGATATTTCTGA